GGGCGCCTTCCTCGGGAGCTGCAGGGAGGAGGTCGCGGGCAGCTCGCTTTAACCAAGCGCGAGGCCATGCAGCGATAGCTCCACGCACATGTGGGCACAGGGCGCTCGCTGCTGCCCCCGCGCCCGGTTTGGGGCCCTGGGGTGGCCCTGTGCTGGGCTGCCCTCTTCCTCGAGGAGCAGGCTGCTATATCCCAGCGGAGGGGGCTGCACATCCTGGCGGAGCAGGCTGCCGCATGGGCCAGCAGACAGGTGAAGCCGTCCGGTGTGCGCGCGCTGGCTGCCTTTTTGCCCTCCGGGCAGGCGCTCCGCTTCGCCTCCTGCTGGTCTCCCCCGCTGGTGCCCAAGGCGAGCAGGCTCCAGCCTTTCGGAGCGCCTTATCCTGAGGCTTCGCGAGGCTCGGCGGCAGGCAGAGCCCGGGGCTCCGACTGGCCCTGCCTGCCCTGGTGAAAGGGAAAGGCTTTGCCGTGTTTGCGGTGTTTGTATAAAGGCTGTAGGAGATGCGCTTTTCCCAAGGGTAGGAGTGGGCTGGTGACTTGGGGGGGTGCCGAGGAACGAAGCCGTTGGCTCTGAGCGGGGTTTTTTGCCCTTTGAAAGGGGTGAGAGGAGAAAGGCAGACAAGGTAGCTGCAAGCGGGCGGGTGGGTGTTTTCCAGCGCCGGTGCTGGCCCAGGCCGAGGCGCAGCAGCGCGGGGGAGCATCGTGCAAGGCGCTGGGCTGCGCAGGGTCCCCCCGCAGCTGCCAGAGCACCGGAATGGGGCTGCTGCAGGTCCGCAGTGGGCTGGAGATGTGACTTCAGCGGCCTGGTACGTGTGGACATCTGCCGTGCTAATTGGATAAGTGCTGAAGTCCTGGCCCTGCTCCTGAGGAGGGGCAAGAGCGGGGGCTCCGTGACGGAGCTGCTTGCTGGGAGCAGGGCGGCCCCGCGGAGGGGGCGCTGGCCCTGTGACCGGGGCTCGTGGGGGGATGTGTCTGCAGCGAGACGCGCGCGCGAGGGGCCGCCTCAGAGCTGTGCCCGTGCCCGGGCCTGTCCTCAGCTGCACTCCTCCGATTAACCGCTGCCTTCCCTGCGGCCTGCCTGCGAGCCGGATTTTCCTCCGCTGCTGAGCTCGCCCCATCCTGAGCTCCTCGATCTTTCCCAGCCCTCGGGATTCCAGGGGAGGTGCCGGGGGTTGGGCTGGGGCTCGCCGGGGCGTTGCAGAGGCTGGGAGCT